CCCAAGAGAGCCCCAGCTGGAGGCCACGGCACCCGCAGACCCTCCCACGCGCCCCCAGACCAGAGGCCAGGCCTCCTTGCCGCCCCTCGGGAGCCTGTCGCCCGGGGAGGCCTGGACCTTGGGGGCTCACGCGGCCAGGCCCCGCCACCTCAGTCCCCAGGGCTCCCGGGGCCAGAGCCGCCAGGAAGGCAGCTGCTCAGTGCCTGTGACCCCAGGCTGCGGTGGCCTTGCTGTGTGGGCGGGGGCAGGTCTGGCCACTGAGCCCCACCCTCAGCCCTTTTAGCTTCTTTAAAAGAAACTCGCATCCTCCCGCCTCAGCCTCTCAGTCACAGGGATTTCCCGTGTGGCCATGCGCCTGGCTCTGGTTATTTTTATGGGACGGTGCACATCACAAAATGCCACCTGTGTCCCCAGGTCTGTGTCTTCCTCGAGCCCAGTTCTGAGCCAGGGCTGCTCCGCCTGGGAGTTGGGCCGTCACCACCGTCACCAGTCACCACCGCGGGGCTCGCTCCGGTCAGTCCCCTGGGCGAGGCGGTGCTTGGACCTGTCGCCCCCACGTAGCTCTGCTCTGTCCTCGGGACGGGGGGCAGAGCAGGGGGCACCTTTGGATTCAGGGCGGAGTCCCGGCTGGTCCCTCTGCCCCTCAGCAGGTAGAAGGGGGTCCGTCTCGTGGACAGCAGCTGGAGCCGACTGACCCATTTTTAAGAAGGGGGCTCCTCAAGTTCTCGCCGTTGTCTCCCTGAGAGTTGGGGTCCCCGCACTCCCATGGGCGTGCACATGGCTGCTGCAGTGGCGGCCGCCTGCTGGGGCGCCTGTGGGAGGCGGGTTCCCCAGAGGGACCTGGCAGCCTCGGCCCGTGCCCTGGACTCAAGCCTGGGTCCTCCCTGGGGGTGGGCAGTGGCCAGCAGCGGCCAGTCCCCAGGCCCACGCCCACTGTGGCAGGTGTCCTGCCCACCCGTGAGGGCCTCGCTCTCCACGGCAGCTCCTGCGGAGCCCAGTGGCCATCCGCCGATCACAGAGGGGACATGGAGGAACAGCAGGGGACGGACACTCAGCAGAGCCGGGAGTGGGGCTCTTTCCCTGCATCCTGCTTCCTCCTGATTTCCAGAGCCACAGCAAGAAGGACTAAGGGCAGATGGGTCGGGAACTTCCCTTCCAACTTCCCAGCTCTAGGCTGTCCCTGAGGGTGCTGGGAGTGGCCACTCAACAGCATGTCTCTGGTGGCTTCAGAAGAGAGGCCTGAAGTCACTGGGTGAGGACACAGGCTTGGGTGGCTGAGGGTGGGACAGGGGTCTGCAGGACCTCATGTCCCAGTCCCATCAGCCAGACCAGCCCTCGGAGCCCCTCACACCCCCTGCCATTGCCTGAGCCCCCCGGTCCCCCAAATGCAAGCCCAGCCGCGTCCCAGCGAGTCAGGCTTAGGAGAGGGGCTATCCCAGGCCCAGACACTGACCCGGCCCAGCCTGGGCGCTGCCGGCTGGGTGTGCGCCAGGGCCTTGTGCTGCCAGGCAGGCACTGACCGCCGAGCGCTGTGCCGGCTCATGGCTGCACTCTCCACAGCATCAAGGGAGGTGTCACTGGCTTTGGGGGCGACCCGGGCAGCTGTCCCCCCCAGCTTCTGTCCCTGTCTCAGCCTCCTTGGCAGCCCCAGAGCCAGGGCAGACCCCGGGCTTGGAGAGGGCAGATACAATGGCTCCCAGAAAGGAGGCTGCCGGGCACCTGTGCCGCTCAGTGGTCACCAACCCGGGGCTGGGGTGGCCGCGGGGAGCCTGCCCAGCCTGCGCCAGGCCCTGAGCTCCATCCCAGCACCGAGAAAAGTAAGTCCAGAAAACAATTGCCATCAGGTGGCCCGTAGCCGCCACCCAGAGATCCATCAGCCACTGTCTGGAAAACAAGCGGGTGCATCCACGCAGGGGAATACAACGCAGCTGTAAAGAAGAGTGGGGCTGCAGAGGCCGGGTTGGGCATGTTGTGAAAAGGCAGGTTCAGAGCAGCGTGAGTGTGCATTTATTTTATTTTAATTATTTATTATTATTTCTAAATTATTTATTTATTCATTTTGCGGTACTAGGGTTTTGAACCCAGGGTTGCTCTACCATGAGCCACATCCCCAGCCTTTTTAATTTTTATTTTGATGTGGAGTCTCCCTAAATTGCTGATGGCTGGCCTTGAACTTCTGATCCTCCTGCCTTGGCCTCCGGAGTAGCTGGGATTACAGAGGGTGACACCCCACCTGGTTCCCATCTCAGTTCCATCTGTAAAAAGAAAAGTACCAACACGTCAACAGGAGCCGGCTGCGGTGGGGACGGGAGAGTTTCCTTTTCCCTGATAATTATTTATCATCACGAAACCCTTCAGGCCGACAGGGAGAATGTGAAGAGTACCCCCCCACAAAAAAAACTGAAGAGGGAAAGAAAATTCCGGAGAGACGCCTGGGCCAACCGGGTCAGTGGGCGGTGGCCTCCCCATGCCCAGAGGGACCACCGTGCGCCCTGCCGCTGCACAGCCCTGGCCTGGGTTTGGGGGCACACTCCTCGTGTGGCCGCTGGCCCCGGGGCAGGGGGTAGAGAGCAAGTGGGAGAGGGGTCTCCCTGCCATGCGCCCTCTCCTGGCCCTGGGCCTGGCCTCCAGCTCCTGGCCTGGCCTCCCGACTGGTCCCCGGGGCCGGCGGAGCCAGCACAGGGCTGCGGCCAGGGCTGGGAGCCAGCAGCCGGGCCTGGGGCCTCCTCACAGCCGCTTTTGATAAAGCCCCTCTGTGCTGGGGGTGGGGGCGGCCGGCTGGAGCCAGCGCACATCTGGAGGCCAGCACGGCCAGGCGGCCGGCGGCTGACAGCGGCGCCACCCGGAGCCACACGCCCGGCCCTGGGTAAACACGCCTGCGCCCACCCAGCGGCTCACCTTTCGCCCACAAGGCTGCCTTTCTTCTCGGACCCCGGCCGCGGCCACCACCGACATTCCTCCCGGGCACAGGCAGAACGGCTGGCTGCTGACCTCGAGGCTGGCCGAAATCCGAATCCAGGCTCTGACTGCGGCTGAGGGGACCTCGGAAAAGCACCTACTACACCCCAGCGGTTTCAGACGCCCTGGAGATGGGCGGTAAAGGATGTGTGCTCTGTAACTAGAAGGCCCACTGTGTGACCTGAGGGAAAATCACTCAGCCTCTCTGAGCCTTATCCGGAAGATGCAGATAGTAATGTTCTCCGGCTCAAATGGTCATGGATATTAGAGGAGCTGTCATTACAAGTTTCTGGGAAGAGTCTCCCCTAGGCTCCCACCGTGGCCACGTCCCGTGCAGAGGGACTCCCTGTAAGGCCTTAGTGCAGCTGCTCTGTGCCCAGAACAAGGGCGGGATGACAACGGGGGCTAGGCCTGGAGGAGCACGTCCTCAGTGGAGCAGGAAGGGACCCTCAGGGGACCAGAGAGCGGTCTCTCCACCGGGTCCCGCAGCCGCTCCCTTGGAATGAGGCTGCTGCTCCGGGCCCTGGTGATGTCCAGGGGCCTTGG